TGAATACACTGATTGAGTTCTTTGCATCTGCCAGGCATGAGGACCAGCAAAGGTACTTAAAAACATTGTGCCCACTACTATAAATTGCCAATATGGGGGCATCTACCAACTAGTCATGTATCAGAGCACCTGTACAATCAACACGAGCTGCTTGGAACTGGTCAGAGTAAATTGTGTTCTTCTTTCCCTAACAGGCACAAAGAGTGAGGAAAGAAGACTGTCATACCTGTACTCAAAAAGTTAAAGTGCAGGAAAATTCTCTGAATGGGGACAAATTTGAAGATTCATAAGAGAACAGCTATTAAAAGCACCAGTATGACCCTCTAAACTATCCTCATTTAAGTGGAGAGGCAAATTAGCCCCTACAGGGACTTGTATTTAGGATGGGCTAGGAGGGAGAAGAGCCCACATTGAATGCTTAAGGTCTCTGACATGTCCATCCATAAATCATTTCAGGGCAAGCCTGCCACTCTGCATCTTCTGCTCTGCCTTTTAAATGGATGGAGCCCCAACATCCCATTCTCCTCAGAGTAGAAAGTGGGGATGAGAGACTCACAGAGAACAAAGAATGGTAATTTCCTCTTCCCCCTACTAAGGACAGATGTAGTAAAAATATCTGCATTGAAATCTTCACTCACTTAAAAATACCAAACTGCAAACAGGTAGACGGAAAGATAATGTTCGAGAGACCCTAAACCTACACAAAGATGTGTCTATTAAAAGAACATGGAGAGGAATCTATTAAAGAAAGGCTAAGTGTGTGACTGACTGCATTCACATGTGCTTTCATTTTCAAAGCTACATTTATTTAGTGGTTGCATCTTTATAAAGAATTATCTGGATAACAGAAGTTCTAATTTTTTGTTCTTCTACCAAGATACTCTTTCAAATAAAGGAATAAATTTCCAGTCATTGAAAAACATACACACAGATCACATACAAACTAAATAAATAAATAAAAGCCAGCAATTTTATCCTTTCAGCATGGTTACCAAGGCTCCTTTGTGTCTACAAATTTCTCAGGGTGGTGCTGTTGCCAAGAAATTCTAATTCATGACAAGGTTCTCTGCAAATTGGGGACAGTGGCAAACCTGCAGATGGACAGATCCTACAGTTTGCTTTGTCCTTCTGGCTGAGACAGCACCTGGCTGCTCAGGCCTATGGAAGACAAGGCAAAAAAGCAGGATCATATAGAAGGAAAAGCCATGTGGCTGGCTGACCAAATCCTCTCCCTGGTACCATGAGGTGTTCTTAGAAGGCAATGATTTCTGTGGGGTTTTCCCTAGAGATGCCTCTTAAGACCCTCATCAAAAGTGCTTCAGGGTGCCTGAAATGAGGCCGAAATTGCAGTGTTATGGGGACACTTAGTCTTTACAGTAGCCAAGTATGCCATTAGTTTAAAACAATGGGGGAATGGAGGAGGAGGGAGGAATGTTCTATGATTTATTTATTTGTTTCCAGTAGCAGTGGAAAATTTTCTACAAGCAAAAAGGAGGCCTGAAACTGACCCCATCTGCCAATTATGAATCAGCATTAGCAATGAGCATAATTCCATAAGAGTTCTCAAGTAAACATGCCAAGCTCCTCAATGACATGAAGCAAAGTGAATTCCAGATAGGACTTTACGAAATAGCAAGCTAGGTATAATGGATGTACAAAAATTCTGAAGGCTTTTTTTTCCAAGTCTTTGGAAGAAAAATAACTAAGAGTATCATATCAAATCCTTTTTATTTTCCAAGCCAGTGGTGTATCCAGAGTCGTAACTTCTATTGGCAACAAAAGTCATGAATGGCCTCCCTTAAGTTATGGCCAAACGGTACCCCCACAATCTTCTCCAGCTTCTGTCCTACCCTTGACTTTTTTCTACTTTTGCTCAGACAGCTCTTGGAAAATTTCCTGCAAGTTTCCAAAGAGCTTAAGGCTAGTAGCCTTAAGAGTTGTGTCAGCTGAATTCCATAAAATAATAGACCACATAAGCACAGTGTAATTTACAGTTATATGACAGGCAGAGATAATGTTACTTGGGCCAAGTCCTTAAGTATGCAGTCAGAGTCCAGGAATGGAACGCTGTTAATGTGTGACATCCATTTGGGCTTTAAAATTATAACAGCAATGAGTTTTGGAGTTGGAGCTGCATCACTGCCTGAAAATCCAACATCAAAATGATGATCTCCATGACTGGAGGTGGCCCTGTCGCAATCACTGACTCTCCAGCAGGCTCACTGACACAGAAAATTATTCCCTATCACAAGTTTGAACTAGAATCTCCAAAGAGCACATCCTCAATTTTTGAATCCACAGATGTTCTTGAGTTTATCATCAAACCCACTCATTCTCTAGAAACCAAATCAGATGACTGGAATCTCTGTATTTCACTCATCTCCCTGAGGCCAGGTATACTATTCACTTTGAAAAGATCTAATAATTACTCCACATTTGACCTCTGAAATAGGATTACCCCACAGCATCAGAAAACTTCCGCCTGCCTGGGTTTCTCTGTAGCAACCTTCTGGAGCTGTTTTGTGCAAAGCAGTCTCAAAATTTCACCATCGAATGGTTGATTTGGAACCAATAGTTGCATATAACCACCATTACCCCTTAGGCTCAGAGGTAGCAAGGGAGGTTGGGTAGAGGAGCAAGGAAGAGATACAGGGTAGAGGTGTTGGCATCAGCTCGAACTTAGGGTCCTGGCTACCTTTATACAGAGCAGTTCTAATGACAGAGTCCACAGTAGAAAGTTCCTTGGAGCAATATGTTGTTTATAAGTGCTTGGCACAAGCTACATTTCCTACGGACCACTTTTGTGCAGCTATGAAATAATCTGGCAAAGGGTTTTAAGGTGAAAAAGGTCGGCAGTTGGAGAGGGTTAAGGCAAGAAATAGGGAAGAGGTTAAGAGAATAATTCCTTTGCCTGCAAATAGAAATTAAGCTTGAGGTTCCTTGAGAGTGGGCAGGAGGGGGAGGAAAGAGGAGGAGGGAAGAAGGAAGAGCCAGATGCCTTGTGGGGCAACAAAAGATCTAATACATCCCCTAATTCTCAAACCAATATGCGTTTTAGCAGACCTAGAGTTTCTTCTGGATGGTCTAGCCATATCTAGAAAGGCAGGTTTCCTCTGGGGAGAGGCCTTCCCCCAAAGCAGGCTTTACTACTGTGAAAACTTGAACCAAAACAAAGTTGTGTGATTCATCAGGAGGGAACGTTGTAACAAATAAAGCCAACTTTCTTCCCTCCAACACTGCTTAACAGTTAGTCACAAACAAGGACTGCCTGAAGCAGGCTGACTAAATCAACAGATTCTCTTTCCTAACCTGTCTAGACAGTTGTTAATATGCTACTGATTCAACACCAATCGGCTGACAGTGCAAAATGAAAGCTCTTTAGAAAATGATATTCTGGCAACATTTGGGTTAGCATGCAAAATAAAAGGAGGAAAATAGACCCAGTGAGGCCCTTCATGAGATAATCATGTTAACGATGGGGGAAAAGGAAGCACTGAAGAAATGCTTGATGCAGAAAATGTGTGAATTGTGTGTGTTTGAGAGTCAAGAGTATCCACCAGCATCTTCGGACAGGAATGCTTGTGTGAACACACAGGCACAAGAAGCCAATACCTGCAGCTCCTGCTGCGGGGAGAGCAACTGGTAACAATGGTGGTGGACTATGCCACTGGGCTCCTTATACCAAAAGTCAAATCTCTCTCACTAAGGCAGCAACTGCTACATCCCAGCCTTGAGCTGGCAAATCCCACTTTGGATCCTGGCAGAGGAAATTCAGCAGTTCATTAGCCCTAACAAGCTGCTGTCACTGAGCAGGGAAGTTACGTGAGCAGCCACACACTGAGCCTCTCTCACAGCCCTCCCCAAGGGCAGGAGTGTTTCTTGAGGAAGGGCTGCACAAGTTCACACTTCCAATATGCAAATGTAGGCTGTCTTCTTGGACTTTCCATGGTGTACATCTTAAAGTTTCTAAATACCCATGCCCCCCCAGCCCCACCCACCACCATCTTCCCTGCAGAATGTCTAGCCATAGCTCCTAATAGCTGCTGGAAAAAACCCACTGTTCCGGCAACAGACCCAGCACTTTCCACTGACCAGCACTTTTTTTATTCCACTTCACAAAGCCCAAGGAACTTGTCCCCCGCCCCGCTTCACCCTCCCCAGGACGCCTACCCAACTTGGCACCAGTACCCTTTAGCATCCTAGGAGTTTCTTAACTAGTCCTCCAAGACAAAGTCACAGGCATGGAAGCACATATCACCCTTTGTCTGCGGTTGTGGGAACGAAGAGGGACCCCCCACAAAAGGGAGAGAGAGAGAAAGAGAGGACAAGGACACCATAGAGGGTGTTTTCTTCCTGGACACATTCCACTGGGGAAACCTACACTGCTTTGTCAGACTGAGATAGATACATCTTCCCGTCCTCCTTGCAGACAGATATCCTTGAGTACCTTTTGTCATTGGGTTCTTTTCTCTTTCCCCACCTTCTAATCTCAAAATCAAGCTCCTATTCTTTACTGACACTCGTTAATTAGCAGGAAAACACTTCGCTTTGCTCCCCCCCATCTGCCAGCTGTCAGCACCAGTTGACATAGATGAACCTGATTTCAGGTACCAGATAGGTAGGGCTCGTGCTGGTAGGGATGTGGTACCCTAAGGATCCAAACCACCTTCCTATGGGCTCCTCGGAGCCCCAGAAGTTGGGCAGGTCTCTGCTGGGGGACAGTGAGCCGAAAACGTGTGCGCAAGGATGTGTGTTGGTGACTGAAACGCAGGCAGCTCAGACCTGACTGTTCAGCAAGGCAAGACTACGGGTTAGGGGTGGGTGGAGAGGTAAGCGCCTATGACTGTTTCAGAAAACATTTTAAACAACACAGAGCCAAAAAGGAAAGCATAAATAAATAAAAAACAAACAAAAAAAATTCAACCCAAAGCCCACACCAACGCAGCCCCTGCGTCTCCGCCGCCACCACACGATTTACACAAGTAATTTAAATCATTCACCTGCTGCCAGGTCTCCTCCAGGGACGGCAAAGCTGAGAAGTAGCCGGTGTCGTGGACAAGTTGTAGCTCCTGGAATATACTATAACTAGCCAACACGTCCATGCTGCTGCGGCCGGGCAAAGCGGGAGGACAAGCCCTCCCCCGAGCACAGTGGGGTCTGTTTGTCTGTCAGTCTGTCTGGCTCACCCCCCAAGAAGGCAGACATCCAGTGGCCCTTTTGTTTTGTTTTGTTTTAGTCAACTAAAAACGAAAAAAAAAAAAAAATCAATGCAGGAGAGAGGGAGCGAGGTGCGAGAGGAGCGAATGAGTGGGGTGGATGGAGAGGCATCCAGAGTGTACAATGCAGATGACTGCCAGGAAGAGGGGACTTCACGGGAGTCACAATTCCCTTCCAGCTCTAGTCACTCCAGCTCGTGGATCAGGAAGGGGACGCAAACTCACTGACACGAAGCTGCCATCTATTTCTGCAGCGCTGTTCGCTCCTAATGCAATCTTTGCTCTTTATTTTGGGAGGTTGCATTTTTTTTTTTCTCGCGATCGCTTCTCTCCCCCCCACCCCTTTTCTTCCCTCCCCACCCCCCACCCCATCCTAGCTAGTTTGTAGTCCCCCCTCCCCTTTTCTCCTCCTCCTGCTCTTCCCCCTCCCCAAACTCCCTCCCTCCGCCCGGCTCTCCGCGCAGCCGTGAGATCTCGTGGGAGGGCACCCATTAGGCCGCGTGTGACCATGTAAGGTAAACAGGAGGCTCATGAAGTCACTGAGGACCAATGGGGAGCTCGGAGCGGGCTCGAGGGCGGGGCCTGGCCCCAGAGGCGGCCACTGATTGGCTCTCTGTGGATCTCCCTGCTGCCATACAAGGCGGCGCGAGGCGAGCTATTTTTAGAGGGCTATATAAAGGTGTTGAGGCGGCCGCGGGGCGGTCGGGGAGCTCGTGCGCCAGGGAGGGCTGGGTGACACTCGCGCCGGCTCCCGGGACGCCTCGGCGGCCGCGCTTCGGCTCGGGCTGCGCGCTGGCCTCGGACCCTCGCTGTGGTGCTGGCGGAGCCCTCGGCTGGGGGAGCCTGCGCCCTGCCGAGGGAGGGGCCTCGCGGACGCGGCCGGTCGGGAGGTGACAGTCCGGAGGGCTGGGTGAGGACGCCTCCTGGAGGAGGCGCGGGGGGGCGTTGTGGAGGAGACACTTCGCCCTCGGCCCCCGGCCGCGAGTCAGAAGGCATGCGGAGGGGGGCGTCTGACGTACCAAAAAATAAACAAAAAGTGAAAGTCCCCAAGCCCCCTCGCAAATCGCCCACGGGCTGCCGGGACAGAGAGACGCGCTGAAGAGGAAGCACCTCAAACTAGCGGAGAACAAAGGGGAGCGCGCGTGCCCGGCCGCCCCGCCCCCGGCGCTCGCTAGGCCCCGCCCCCGTGCGCGCCTCCGACGCCGCGCGCCCGCGCCTTCCCAGTGACCCTTCACCCAGGTCAGCGTACAGTTTGACGGCCTCCTGGAGTAGATTGAATTCGGACCCACCCTTGGGGGTCCGATAAAAAGAGGTACCTCCAGGGAACCTGGGGCTCGGGCTGGGCCTGGCAGCTTGCTAGGAGTCTTTTTAAAGTGAGGCTCGCCATGTGGCTCCAGGCGAGGAGAGAGAAGGTCCCCCATTGTTTTTTGGAGCTGGGATGGAGACACAGGTTCTGTCATCTCTCAGATGTAAACTTCCCTGCACGTTGCACGTTTAGATGGACCGATTGTTTGCTTGACCTTAAATGGTTACTGTGGTTCAAGCTTCTCCAGAATGTGCTCGGAGCTGAACTACTTTTGGAAACATTGCAGAATTCAGTACTTGGAGATGAGAAACTTCCTTGTGCCTTTAATGGAAGAAACACATCTGGCCTACATCACCCTCCCCCCCTTTTCCTCCCTTTGACTCTGTGGTACTCCTTGTCACGATATTTGAAAGATTCTGTTTTCTAGAACAAGCACGACTTGAAATTCAGTATTGGCCAGGGGAAATTAAACAGGAATTAACGGGATTAAGGAAAAGCTGCCTTATTTATCTGTTAGTGTGGAATTGTGTTGGTCAAATTTCCAGCATTCTTTGTATAATTGGTGCACTTACTACAATGTAGATGCATAGACTATGCAAGAATGCCGTCACTTACTAACCACACAACTTTGAGCAAATTGCTGGGTCAAAACCTCTGCCTTGCTGAGAAACAGGAATACTTTCTGGTCTGAAGAGTCAGCATTTGCAACTCAGCACTAGGAAGTGATTACTAAATGTTAGCTATCATTGGCTCTTGACTTGAGCTAAGTAAACTAGATAATACCTGAATTAATAGGGAAACATAACAGAGCCTTGGAGAGGGAGGGCAGGTAGACATCCCTTTGCTATAAAATCTTATATTCTCCACACTTCCCCTATCCTACTTGGTTGTGGGAGAGGGTCAGCAGGAAGCTATGGAGATACAGAGATGCACTAGGGTAGGGATGGTGGAGGAACATTTGGCTGCTGGGGTGATAAGAGAGAGCTCTGCATGCTATAGGTTGGCCACTACCCTAGGGCTAAAAGATATGTTCACAGGTAATAGGGAAAGGAAAACAACTTCAATACAGAAGGCAAAAGGCGAGGCAAGATGAAAGTACTCAAAGCCTGAGACAGAAGGGAATTTAAATTTTTTTTGCGTTACACTGTTAAACAATTTTTGAATAAAATATACCAATTAACTTGTGACCTTGAAGATTTTATAAGTAATGGTCACCATTTATTAAGTACTTACAATGTACTATATGCACACAAATGTTTTATATGCGAGACAACCGCATTTTCATTATTCTGAACTTTATGGATGAAGATACCCAAGCTTAGAAGTATTATGTATGTCAGTCAGGGTCACATAACCAGGAATATCCAGGCAAGAGTTCAAGTCCAGGAGGATCTGACTGCTACAATTGTGCTCCTACACTGTGCTTTCCATGATGAGAGATTGAGTTTCCTGACTTTCAGTCAAAGTGTGTTTATAAAAATTGTTTGTTTGGGGTTGGGAGGGTGCCACTGAAGCTTTCCTCACATATAAAAACCAAAATTTTACAAAGTAAGTTCTGCAAATCTCATGAACTTTTTTCAAAGCATTATGAAATATTCCAGAATTCAAGAGCTATGCAACAAGGTGTTCCAAAAGGCACATTTTCAATATTCATCATATTTAGCTACTTTTTGTATCCTAGATATCCTAGGCTTACATTGCAAAGTACATGCACGGTACCCAAGCACACAAAATAATGAACAAAGCAAGATCAGGAGGAAGGTTTGGCAGCCAAGCAAGCCAAAAATGAACTGGCCCGGCACAGGAGTGTGTGCCTGTAATCCCAGCTACTTGGGAGGCAGAGGCAGGGGGTGCATAATTTTAAAGTCAACCTGGGCAACTTTGCAAGACCCTCTCTCAAAATAAAAAATAAAGAGGGTTGGGTGTATTGTCCAATGGTAGAGCACTCCTAAATTCAATCCCCAGCACCACAAATAAACTGCCCTGATATGATAACCACATATTGAATCCCTTCTTGGTACTTAGCATTTTACTGGTAATATTCACATCGGAACTTCACTCATCGTTGTACGAGAGGTAGCTGGTTCTTTTTTTTTACAGGTGAAGATGCTAAAGTTCAGTGAAGGCATGTAGTGTGTTCATTTCCATAGGTCTATCAAGTGGCAGAAGCAGATCAAAGTATATGTCTGCTTCCAGGTAGACTCCAGAATCTGTCGTGGAAATTGCCTTGGGAGATGCTGCTGATATTTCTAATATTATACCCCTTTGGAAGTAATCCTTTAGGGTAACCCAAGAGTAAATAAGGTTGCCCCTCAAGAACTCAGATATGAGACATTTTAAGAATAAAATAATAAAAATTTAATATCTAAATAGGTACAATCAAGGCATCAGATTTTACCACCAGAGAAGTTTTGCTTCATTAGGAAAGAAAGGCCTAATTATCCCAGTGTGATTAGTATTGGTAAAGACTCCTCAAAGGAAACCCACTTAAAACAGGGACCAAATTTTAGAGTAATTAGGAAAAACATGTTTGCTTATAACCTTATGTGAAACTAGAACTCACTGTTATTAAACCATTTTTTCTATATTGTATTGAACAAAATTTATGTTTTAAGTATAACTGTGCTAATTGCAGAATGAATAAGTAATAAGTCAAGAAAATTACCAGTTGCTTAATTTTGCCTACAAAATGTGAAGTACCTCTCAGTGCTCAGAACATCATACTTGAAAGTATGATGCCTTAGCCTATTGGGTATTTTGAGTTGAAGGAGACTGACCTTGGCCTGTTGAATATTTTGAGCTGAAAGAGATTGAGAGAGCCACAGAAGCAAAATCTCTCTGATCTTCCCCTGCCCCTGACTCTCTTTTGTTCCCCTGAAATGGGTCATAGAAACTAGAATTCCTCTTCTCCAAAATGAGCCATAGAAACTAAGAAGGTCACTCTCTGAACTCCCACATTCTCCCCTGAAAACTCTCATATGGCAGGTTTCCTACCCATACCCAGGAATCAAGAAGAATCTGAGCAAACAGGCCAGTTTACTATCATGAAATCATAGCCCCTTAGGCCAGTCATACTTGTCCATGCTTCATTTCACCTAAGCATAGGAGCACATAGTTTTCCCTGGATCTTTGGGTCTTCATTTCTGAAGGCTCTCCCTGTCATTGAAAGCTGTGTTTAAATGAATTTGCTATGCTTTTCTTTTGTTACTATGCTTTTTGTTACAGGAGTCTCAGCTGTGAGGCTTGTGAAGAGTGAGGAAGATACTTTTTATCCCTTCCATACCTTAAACATGCTTTACTTCATATTGGACTTTTACAGCATAATCAAAAGGAGGGCCATGCAAAAATGTTAGAGAACTTCATCATTTTTCCCAAGTGTCTCAAGTCTTTGATATTTTAGGGATTCTTTTCTGAAGCAACAATATGGCCATCTTCTCTGTTGATCTAGCCTTCCCTGTAGTTTATATCTTTACTACACATTTGTTCGTAGCTTCACAGGCCTCATGTTGACATTGACGTGACAAAAGCTTATACCTTTTCAAGATTTGCAACTCCACTCTGGAACAGCATGGAATCTGTTTGTATTGTTCAGTGTCTGTCGCCCAGGGAAGAAGAAAAGACTAACATTTAGAAAAGACACTTGAGCAGGTATGGTGACCCAAACCTGTAACCCAAATTGAGGTTAAGGCCCCAGGGTTCCAGCCCAGCATGGGCAATTTAGTGATTAGTAAGGCTCCATCTCAAAATAAAAAATATAAAGGGCTGGGAATGTAGCTCAGTGCAAAGGTCCTGGGTTCAATTTCCAGTAAAGTGAGGAAGGAAGAGGGAGGGGAGGGGGAGAAAGAGAGAGAGAGGTAGTTTCCTAACTTTTGCTTCCCCTCACAATCTCACTGCAGTAGAGAGAAGTGTGAATTTAGGGAGCATGATTTTGTTGTATTATAGAAAACAGTGTCAGAGAGGTGGAGATGGGGAAACAGAGCTGCCAGAGGAGACACAGTTTGAATTTGAAGGAAGGTGTATGTG